GCAAGAATTTGTCAATATTGAGGATATTTGTAGGAAATCTCACAAATCTATGAAACTGTTATGGAATTTCTTATTTAATCCTTAATTTAAGCCTCAATTCCTGATTATTAGCCCTAATCCTAAAGTTGTTATTTTGTTTTTTAACCGTATTTCTACTAAGAACTTGACTTATATTTGCATTATTTGTTTTAAGCGTTAGATAAATGGAGAAAATCGCACAAAATTATATTTTCAAAATTGTTTTGTTTGTTAGTTTTCAATTATAAGCTATCGATGAATAATCAAATAGTATTTCATTGTTTTTGAAAACATTTTCGCCAAACATATCCTCAAAATTGTATTTCAATGACGAGTTCCTCACAAACAATGAATTAAAAAAACTTTTTGAGAAAACATTTTAAACGAGAGATTATGTAATAGACGTACAATTATTTTCAGTAGCGTTTCATATATTTAAATAAACAAATCTTTTATTGTGTTTATTGAATTAATAAAACAGCTTTTTGCACATTTAAGGCCCAAAGCTATGAGGAATTATTTTCTCATTTCAGGCCATTATATAAGATTAAGTATTTATTTCAAGGATACCTGTGCCGACATATCATACCTTATAGTAAACGAGAATACGGTTTCAAACATTCCTTATATTGTTCTCACATTTGATTGTTTTCGATGAAAACGAAAACATTTTTTACAATAACTGTCAAAAGATTTCATGTTTTTGTTTCATATGTTTGAACAGAGGATGTGTTCAGAATTCGTGTCAATTCTGATGACTATATCGATAAACTGGTCGACTATTCAATGATGAAGATCTATGCGATCGCAACCGTCAAAGAGACTNACCACAATATCTCCCCGAGTGATGATATTGAGCGATGGCTTCTCGATAGTGAAGTCGTCCTCTTCAGACCACGTCTGTTGAGTCTCTTTGACGGTTGCGATCGCATAGATCTTCATCATTGAATAGTCGACCAGTTTATCGATATAGTCATCAGAATTGACACGAATTCTGAACACATCCTCTGTTCAAACATATGAAACAAAAACATGAAATCTTTTGACAGTTATTGTAAAAAATGTTTTCGTTTTCATCGAAAACAATCAAATGTGAGAACAATATAAGGAATGTTTGAAACCGTATTCTCGTTTACTATAAGGTATGATATGTCGGCACAGGTATCCTTGAAATAAATACTTAATCTTATATAATGGCCTGAAATGAGAAAATAATTCCTCATAGCTTTGGGCCTTAAATGTGCAAAAAGCTGTTTTATTAATTCAATAAACACAATAAAAGATTTGTTTATTTAAATATATGAAACGCTACTGAAAATAATTGTACGTCTATTACATAATCTCTCGTTTAAAATGTTTTCTCAAAAAGTTTTTTTAATTCATTGTTTGTGAGGAACTCGTCATTGAAATACAATTTTGAGGATATGTTTGGCGAAAATGTTTTCAAAAACAATGAAATACTATTTGATTATTCATCGATAGCTTATAATTGAAAACTAACAAACAAAACAATTTTGAAAATATAATTTTGTGCGATTTTCTCCATTTATCTAACGCTTAAAACAAATAATGCAAATATAAGTCAAGTTCTTAGTAGAAATACGGTTAAAAAACAAAATAACAACTTTAGGATTAGGGCTAATAATCAGGAATTGAGGCTTAAATTAAGGATTAAATAAGAAATTCCATAACAGTTTCATAGATTTGTGAGATTTCCTACAAATATCCTCAATATTGACAAATTCTTGCACAGACTCTGCCATATATGGTATCTAAGCCTTTATCTAATGTTCAAATAAAATTTATATAAAATTTCTAAAAAACAGTAAAACACTTTATCTGGCAATCAATCAAAAACATAGACAATGTCTCTGACTTACTCTGATAGGGCTGTAAGACAATGATCTGTCGCTCCTGTTTGATCTTTTTGGCCAAAATGCCTGTCAGGTAGAAGCTGTTGCAGCTGAGGGACAGAGTGACCGTTCGTATGCTTCCCACTCTGTTAGTCATCTCGACCTGAATGTAGAAGGGGTTCCCGATCACCACTTTCTCGATGTCTAACAAATCAAATTCAATGTCTTCTTTTCCGGGCGCCGGCAACTCAAACAGGAAAGACAGTCCCGCGCCTACAAATATACAAACATTATTCACTCATTGCTTATAGGCTAGTTAACTTAGCTAGCTAGTTAACTTAGCTAGCTAGCTAACTTATGAGTTAGTTATTCCTGATATGATTTTCTTGTTTAATTGTATTTTTTAGTCAAGAAAATAATATATTTTAATTTCTATCGTATGGACAAACCTCGAGCGGCATTGAGAACAGCCATACGTTCCTCTTCTGTGCCTTCTTTGAATTTATAGAGAGATGTGATGTCTTCGGCATCAGATATGCCCCCGTAATCACCGTCAACACCAACCCTTTTCGTGAATAATTTTCGGCCGACGCTATCGATTGCAATAAATATCATAAAAATTATTATATGTTTTGCATTTATAGTAATTATTTTTTATTTAAATGTCAATGTTTTATGTGAGCTATTCATGTGAATCATATGGTATTTGTAAAAGAATTGATAAATGAATTTGTTTTGTATTTCTTTGTTAGGCAATAATGTATATAATTATAAATAAATAAAAATCTTTGATCGAGAATTGAACGATTGAAGCATTAAATGCGAAAATTATAAAAATACTTTATAAGTGAGACCTGAATGCCTGTTAGCATCTCATGAATTGAAGACTAGTCTGGAGTTAGAGTTCAAGGAAAGTGAGGCACAAAAGAGAGTGTTTAATGAAAGCTTATTGACATCAAGTCATTAGTTCTCGGATACCAATCCAAAGGACAGAGACATAGAACTGGGGGTAATGTATGTTTGGAAACAGTATGTACTTGAAAGTGTGCTTTAGGAAACAAATAAAAAATGCATCTCTCGCTCTCTCTCTCTCTCTCTCTCTCTCTCTCTCTCTCGCTCACTCACTGACTCACTCTCATTGAAGATGCATAAAGAAAGTGAAAGAATGTATAGAATGGATACAAAGACAAGAAGTAGAGGGAGGAGACAATGGGTGCTGTGATGTACTACACTGTTGTACACGTACTGGTATTTATTGGTCTTGATCTTTCTCCATCCGAGTTCACTGGATTCATCAAGCTGCCAGTGCACGACATCGGAGTTCACCTCAGCAAACACAAAGGGGACATCATACGCTAAACCAACCTCCCCCTTACGAATGGCCTCCAGGGATGCCGGGCCTGTTTGGTAGAGACCACTGACATCACTCGATTCTTGCGGTGTGGCGTCAATCACCTGCCAGCCCCCATAGCCCGGTGGAAGATCTGGTCTGTGAGCGCAATATCAATACAATTATCAATAATGCAAATAAAACAATATTGCGTTTATTATTAGCACTAAAAAGCACTCAAAAACTTTTCCTCTCGTTTAGAGTTCAATAAAACACTTAACCCTTTAGGCTGTCCCACAGTCCCATAACATAATTTAGATAACATAGAGAAGTGGTGGCAAAGCACTCATACCTCGACATCCAAACATCAGTCCAAACGTGAAAATTCCAAATCGAGTCGGAGTTCACATCAGATATGGGTTCGCCTTCACGAGTGAAAAACTTGTCGACAGTGAG